CTCATAGTTCTGTGATCTCTTGACCGATTTGAGATCTAATTACAGTTTTGGTGTCAGGAGGCGAAACCCTTACGATTGATGTATTTTACCACGCCCAAAGTCTCGTAGATTAATTTACTATAATCCTGCCTAATTAAGAATTTCAGTTTGAGGGTAGGCTGGAAAATATCCTGTTGATTAATAATGGTTGGATTGATGATGAAGACAAAACCTTGTCGAAACGTTGTACATTTGTTGTTATGTTAAACTTATATTAAAGTTTTTCTTCATTACCCATTCAAGCCGTCTCCAGCCATTATTAGTCTCAAAGTGGGTTCCTCGTCACCAAAGTATAATGGGTTATTGCATCAAAGACATGTGTATCAGTAACATGAAAAATGACAGACCGTACGGGGTTAATAACGAGAGATAAGGGAAAAATTAAAACAGTGTTGATTTTTTCTTCATCAAATCCATTAGGGGCGACATAACTGGCTTCTTATTCTAATGCATTTTATTAAGACATGAAGAAGTAACCTTATATGAAATAAGGAGTGTTACGTCTCCGTTTGTTAATTGATTCCCGTAAATTCGTTCCGACGAAACTTTAGCGATACAAGTCCTTACTTAATAAAACAGGTTTATTCTTTCCGAATATAACTTTACGATACACTCAACTTCAACAGTCGCGCTATAATAAACACTATAACGAACGAACGTTAACTTCAACAATACGTCTCTCTCTGACCGCAGTTCAATTACTCATTACCAACACACACATTATTGTCACCCTCTTATATATACCAGACTACCCTATATCTAGTAATCTCCCGACAATTCCCGAAGGTTCGAGAGAACGAGTCACGCAACACTGCCCCCTCCTTAGTATTGTTCGTCCCGAACAATAACCACATACAATAAACCAATAACAATAACTTAATTAAATGTACAGAATTACAAACACAAAATTACAATTCAACAAAGTCTCTTAATTTTACGGGACGTATCTTCTTCCATACAGGTCTCCGTCTCGTTGGCTTCTGCTTCATGTGGAGTTCATCTGCTTCATCAGTAAATGTCCTATCATCGGTAACAGTCACATCAGTGGTATTAACTTCATCAAGAGCTTCATCGTTTCCCTTCTCAAAACTGAGTAGAGTTTCTTCTTCGACAGTGGCTTTTTCAGGTAACACTTCTTCAGCAGCGTCATTTGTTCCTTTGTTCACTTCATCCCAACTGAAACATCCTGGACCATGATAACGCCAAAGCCTGTTGGCATGCACCACTTTTGGCTTACCTCGCCGACCACATTTTACCCCGAAAGTCACGTCTGAAAGACGATCCGCTATGTCATATGGGCCTTCCCCTGGAGAAGACAACTTAAGAGACTTCCCTTT